GTCCAGAAGGGATCTACTTTGAAGGAAATTAAATATCGAATTGATATGTGCTGTAGTTTTCTTTTTATAGCACCAGTCTTGATGTTTTTTGATCAGACCTCGTAATGTCTGACGTTTCCTGCAAATAGTTTTATCGACGGGACCCGGCAATTCATTAAAAAATTATCTTTTTAAAATGAAGTCATCCATATTTAAATGAAGCGATCCATATTTAGATGAAGTCATCCATATTTAGATGAAGTCATCCATATTTAAATGAAGTCATCCATACTTAAATGAAGTGATCCTTATTTAAAACATTGTTACTTGCAGCATGATTTTGTTTACAACAGATGATGCAAAACACTAAAATTTGAAAGGCTCAATTTTCAAATATTAGGTCATAAGTAATTTCCGTTTTGGAGAATCAATTCTCATGACCAATAAATCATCCTGGTTAAGCGTTCCTTAAATATTTCAAAGCAGGCGATGGAAAATGGGCTATAAACGACAATGTTCACGGCAAAAAGACAGTAGATTGACAAAGGCAAATTTTCAAAACAGACGCAAAAGCCAAGATCCAAATAGAATAAACATGATGTTGTGTGTGCGGTTGAAAGTATTAAAAAAAATCATCAATGCCATAGAATAAAGATGTTTACCGTTCCAAATCTACAATGACCAACTTTGTTTACCACTTCTTTCGACACAGTGTTCAGTACAAACGTGGTTATAGTTAAGACTTATGAGCGGGAATCCTTAACATTGTCCAGTCTTGGTGACGATAGGATCTAAGACATTTATGGTGCCTTCCTATATACGAGGTCTGATCAAAGAGTATCAGGTCAGTTATTATGGTAACGGACATTAATTCGCGGAGTGAAGCCACTTGGAGGAGATTCAGCTTGACCTCAGTCACGTAAACCTCTTACCTAGTTGTGGCATTCACGTGGGATCGGTTGAGCTGGTTTTAAAGCAGACCCCAAAAGCCGAGATTTAAATACAATAATGTGTCGGAGTATTATTTGTTTAGAGTTATTACAATGCAATGAAATGATAATTGCACATTTATACGTTCGACAGCTGTAACGTGTCCATAAGAATTTGGTCGTCATTCTTTTCTGCTCAAAGTGTCATATTCAACTGAACTTGCAGCGACTTGATCATCATCATGAAAACTGTTTCTATTTGAGATCATAAATTAACGTGTTCTTTCATCTTCAGTGATATTGTACACTGATTCAACAATATTTTGCCAGCCGTCCCTGTCATCTACGAGTTTGCGGATTCGTTGCAGACCTTGCTTGATTGTAAACTTCTTCAAAGGAAAAGTGGGAACATTCTGCCTTGTTCTTTGAATGTCTCGGTTCAGCATTGTGAATAGCGATTTTCTAAGCCCGGCTTAGATGTGGCACAAGGCCGAAAGTATGGGGCATCTAGTGAGGATCGAACTCACTACTCAGTCGTAATTGATCTAGCGAGACAAGCTTGCTAACCATTACACCACGCCGAGGTGCCCTCAGCATTGTGAATAGGGTGGTTCTTGAATGACATCTGACCTTTTTGAAGTCAGTCATTTCAAAGTAAAACTCCATGACTTTGTTAGCTGAGCATTCTGGATCTATTCTGTTTGTTGACATTCATATGTTTTTTTCTTGAACAATGAGCTGTATTACAGACACACATTCTGTTACTTTCCAACATCGATGTACATCATTCCCGCATTTACTGTGGACAACAAATCTGTTTCCATTATGCTTGCATTCTAACTCTAAACATCTCAGCTGGTGTTTGCTTTTGCCAATGTTACTGTTCAGACCAAGTTCGATTTTTCCTTTTTCGAATATTGTCTTTCTCAGTATGCAATGTCTTAAATAAGTAGTTATTGCGTAGCAGTAACTGGAGCAGCCATTACCTACCTCGCCAAATACTCCGACCTGTGTTAACCTTTTTCGATCGCTGTAAAATGAATTGATTTTTTCCACATCAAAACATACGGAATTTTACTCAAATGGTATCGAAGAGCGAGCTGATATGTGGCAAAAAGTAATTTGCAAATAATAGTGGATATTTAATTGAATACAATGTAATTGTAATTTATTTCTTGAAGAATAAAGTAAAAAAAATATTTAGAACGTAACGCGATATTTGACAACATTAAGTCAGTTTGTAAGGCCCAAATTTTACGTTTTGATACGTTTCAAATCTAAATTTAAGGTGACTTCTTTTTTGATGGATGAACACTCACCTCACAACCAGTGAAAATCTACCGGTAATTTTATCAAACTATCCGACAATTCGTAAAAGGGAAGGTTTCATTCTTAAAAATGATGTTGTGGTAGGGTTTGTTACGTTTCGGCGTTGACCATTTGGCGTGGCTGATTTGGCGTGGTCGATTCGGCGTCAGAAAAATAATTGGCGTATTCGGCACGGTCGTTTAAGCGTCAGACTATTTCGTCAGACTATTTCGTGAATACGGCAACAAAGTTGAGGATAACAGTCTGAGCATTGTAAATAGTGTAAATAACAAAGGCCACATTTTGATCCAGGTTTTGAGCGCAGACAGCTGTTTGTTTCCGCACAAATGTATTCAGCCTTTATGACTGTATTCAGTTTATTAGAAGCAAAGAACGTCTTGAAATGAAAGCGTTTGCCTAAAAGATAACAAAGGTTTGAAGAATGAAATAAACAAAAAATTGTTGCGGAAATAATATGCTATTTGTTTTTAAAATATCGTGAAGAAACGGACTATTCTGAAATTTAATCCGACAGTGAACGCTGATTAGTAATTGGTAATTATGATATTAGACATTTTAGCCATCGAGGACATTGAAGAAATGATTACGGATCATGAATTTTAATTACACAATAATTAAAATTCTAAAGACCTCAAGGGAAATTTAACGCCTGTCTTCAAGTCTTTAAATTGCAGATATTATATATGAAAAATTAATTGCAAAGTTCAGACAAGTTTCCGATGTTGACATTTAGTATCTCAAAGAGTATCACATCTGAATGAATAACGTATAAGATTGTATGACGTTTGATAACATAATAATAATAATAATAATAATAATAATAATAATAATAAACTGAAAGAAATTGGTATGAACACCACGTAGACACGGTTACGGAGATAGGGTCTGTAACAATTATATGGAACTACACAATACACCCAGACAGAACAATCTAAGCTAATCGCACAGATATTGTTATTAGAGACCGCAAAAAAAAAAAGAAAGAAAAAATGGCTCCTTATTGACATGGCAGTCGCTGCAGACTGCTGTGTAGCTTTGAAGATCAAAAAGCTATCAAAATATAAGGACCTTGAAATCGAAATCTTAAAAATGTAACATATGAGGACATCAACAATCCCTGTAGTAGGTGGAGCCCTCGGATTGATTGGAAAAGATTAAAAAAAAAAACTCATTGAGGAGATTGCTGTTAGCCCATGCCTTAAAGAAATACAAAAAATTGTTCTCACGAGTACAGCCCACACCTTACGAAGGGCTTTATCGATGTAAAATATGTTGCTTTAATTGCTCAGTGGTAAATGTCATGATGCCATTTCTGACCTTAGGTCTCTGAGCGGAACCCGGAAAGAAATCAGTACACACCAGAAATCAAAGGAAATAAAATAATAATAATAATAATAATAATAATGATAATAATAAAAATATATTTTACACATTTATAAATCTACTATTCGTCCATGTATTGAATATCAACATCCTTAATTGGACCATAGATGACATTATGGGGAAAGCTTTTCACTTGCATCCTAAGGCTAATGCTGATCGTCTGTATTTGCCCAGATCCGAAGAAGGTAGAGGATTAGTTCAACTAGAAATGTCTTACAAAACCACAACAATTGGTCTTCAAAGATATCTGGAAACTACAGAAGACTGGATAATGATCTGTGTCAAAAAATATGGAAGAAATACGAAACATTATTTAGTAATAAATGAAGCCAATAAATTCAAAAGTGAATTTCAAGTGGATGAAAAAGTGCAAATAAACCATAATACACCCACAGCGGTGGCAAGGTACCTAAAAAAGAAAGCAAAAGCAAATGCAATGTACCAAATGCAGAAACGATGGCAAGATAAGCCTCTTCATGGTCAATACTCTTCCCGTACTAAAGAAGCTGATGTAGACAAACCCCGTAGCCATCAATGGTGCAGGGTTAAAAAGCTGAAACTGAAGGGTTTATTTTTGCTGTACAGGACCAATGCTTGCTAACTAGAAATTACTAAGCACACATAATGGAAGTCTGTGTTAACCCCCAAATGCAGATTATGTGATAAATATCCGGAAACAATTGACCATCAGGTTGCACAGTGTTAGGCCCCACTGAATATAAAACTCGATATGATATAGTGGGCCAATATCTGTATAGGAAAATCTGTAACTTTTACGGAAAGGAAACTGCAAGAAATTGGTATGAACATCACCCAGACCGAGTTACAGAGGTAGGGCCTGTAACAATTTTATGGGACTTTACAACAAACACAGGTAGAACAATCAAAGCTAATCATCCAGACATCATGACCAGAGACAAAAAACAAAATTTGCCTCCAAAATGTGCCTGTAAATTATAATGTATCTTTGAATATCTTCAAAAAAATTATCAAAATACAAGATCTTCAAATCGAAACCTAAAAAATGTGGCACATGAAAACATCAACAATTCATTCCAGTTGTAGTTGCCATTTTCGATCTTATGTCTCTGGTTGGGACCCGGAAAGAAATGAGTATACACCAGAAATCAAAGAAAATATAATAATAATAATAATAATAATAATAATAATAATTATAATAATAATAATAATAGTAATAATATATGTTATACATTTATAAGTCTACTATTCATCCTTGCATTATATATTACTGTCACATCTGGTCTGGTGCTGTTCTTATACACCAAATTAAGTGGATACTGTGGGGGGTAACGCTTGCTGACAGGCAAGTTACAAACTGATCCCCCACTTTTTGTCATAGTAGATTCGGCATATTAGGCTTACGGCCGCATCACGTTGAAACACCGGTTCTCGTACGATCACGGAAGTTAAGCAACGTCGAACCTGGTCAGTACCAAAATGGGTGACCACGTGGGAATACCACGTGCTGTAATCTTGGTGGTGCAGGTGCTTTAATGAATAACGGCTTGGAATTGGAAATCGGAGATCCGAGTTCAAATTCCTGTCGGTTTCGCTATATTCACTTACGTATAAATACCCTTGATAAAAGGCATGAATCCAACTCTTCCACATATGTGTTGATTAGTAGGACTTGTATCAGTAAATAAAAAAATCGTATAATCTAAAAATATTTAAATAACCTGCAAAGGGCCGATAAGCCGTAAAAAACCCCAACCAAACCAATCAATGAATGGTCTGGTGCGTCTGCTATGTATTTAGAAATTCGTGTTAAGATATAAAGACGAATTTGCGATGTTACTGGTCCTGATCTGGCATCTCGATTTCAGACATTTTAAATTACTAGATTGGCGGCAAGGTTTCATCATTGTATAACTAGACGTAACTGTAAGTTCTATGCCAGGGGTCACCAAACTACGGCCTGCCGATATCAGTTCATCCGACCCACTGTGCCACAAATGAGCTAAAATATAATTATTTATATGGAATTATCAATAGATTGTAGTTAAAATTCCTATGTAGAAAAAATTAAAGTAAATGTAAATAAAACGCCAAAATTTGTCCAATCTGATTTTTGCATCTGACAGAAAAATAAGTTTTTAGGAAAATCAGGGAAACAAAAAATTCGGCAACTATTTGCATCTTTTGATATTCGAGCGCTTTTTGTGTAAGTACCTGCAATGGAGTTTCTAAGAAAAGCGATTACGAGCCTGAAGCAGCCATTATGTTTTAATTCACATTGCCATGTTTAAACCGGTTTGAAGAGAGCCGTATATAAAAAGGACTGACTTCAACGAATTATGTCATATATTTTACCTGAACTTATAAAATCTAAAGTCAGCACATGTAACGAGGTTGACTGATAAACATTAGAAAGCATTTCTCTTGGTTGGATGCAGCAATACCAAAACAAATACATCCGTCCTTGTATGGAATATTGCTGTCATATATATCTGGTACCCCCAATCTACGTCTCGAGGTCCTCGACAAAATCTAGAGAAGAATATGGAATGCAGTAAGTGCTGATCTGACATCTACAGTCGTTTTCTCACAGACTTCCCTCTGACTCTTCTACAAATATTTTTACGGCATCTGTTCCGACGAGCTACTTTTGCTGGTTCCCAGACTTCATGAATTTAAGCGAGTTACGAGGCTGGCATCTCTGTCCCACCTTTTCACTTTCGAAATGATTAAATGTAACCGTCTCTTCTATTCAAACATCTTCTATCGCACTTCCCGTCTGTGGAACTCCCTTCCTCTTATTTACTTCCCTAATAATTATAATCTTCAAATATTTAAGTGTAATGTCAATCGACATCTTTTGATACTTTGATCTTGTTCCCCGCCCTTCTCTATGTCCTTTCCCCAAACACGCCTCTTTACTCTTGTTCTCAATCCTCTGTAACCCCTTGCGTGCTAGTGGCACTTCCGCCTTGCTTGGGGGTGAATTGCTTAAGAAAAAAAAATATCTTAAAAAGTAAACGATAGTTTCACAGATCTCACTAAACTTTTGTGCTGCTTAGTTTATGAGATTCGGATATGTGCGGACATGATGTGATATAACTATTTTATTGCTATTGTCGCCTTCGTAGATAACTTTTTAGTAAATAAGTATGTTTGTTGTCTTTATTTTTGTGCATTCAGTCAGCCAGCTTAGGCGATCATATATCTTTCGATACATGACTCACGAGGCAGATTTTTTTCCGCAGTAGGTTGCCATTTCATTTCTGCAGTAGACGAGTTGCCATCCAAGGCTATAGAACCCGGTCTGCTCTACTATTTACCCATAGCTGGGGGAGAAGAAGAGGATTCATACTTTTCCCAGGGGTATTTGCACGTCATTCAGTTATGTGCCATGCGTGATACTCGCTTAGGCGATTATTTATCTTTCGATACATGACTGACGAGGCAGATTTTTTCCCGCAGTAGGTTGCCATTTCTGCGGTAGACTAGTTGCCATCCAAGACTATAAAACTCGGTCTGTCCTGCTATTTATCCATAGTTGTGGGGGTGGAGAGAAGAAGAGGATTCATACCTTTCCCAAGGATATTAGCACGTAAGACTGGAATTCGAACTCGGCTCTCCGATTCCTCAGTCCGAGCCACTATCCATTACTCCACCGTGCCTTCAGTGCATTGTATTGAGCAAAATGGGTATCCGGCCCGCGCTCGTCATTCTCTCCGTTACCTGGCTCCCTGGTGACCCCTGAGTAATAGGATGAGTCCGAAATGCGATTTGCCGGTCGGGGACACTAAAATTAAGCAGGCGTAAATGAAATAGCGTTTTTTTCTCTCTTTAAATCATTAGAAGAAAGAATAAGAAGTATCTGGAAAGTGTTTTGAACGATAAGAAAAGAATACTGAGCTGTTATTTGATATCTGTCCTTCTATACGGCAGAGAATGGTGGACGATTTCCTCAAAGATGAAGAAGAGACCCGAGGCGACGGAAATATAGTTCTACAGAAGGATGCTTAGAATATTATGGACCGAGCGTGTGAGCAACGATGAGGACGTGGAGAGGATACAAACAAGGAGGAGGCTTATACTTAACATCAGGAAGAGTCAGCTGAAGATTCTCCGACACATAATGAGAAAAGAGGGCCTGGAGAATCTGATACTCACAGGGCGAATAGAGGGAAAGAGAGACAAGGGATAGCAACGCATGACATACCTATCTATTACTCCATCGTGCCTTCAGTGTATTGTATTGAACAAAATAATTATCCGGCCCACACTCGTCATTCTCTCAGTTACCCGGCCCTCTGTGAAAAAAAGTTTGTTGACCTCTGTTCTATGCGAACAGTTTATTCTCTTTCACTTCTTGTACGTGGAAATTCTTCCGGCTTCTTGCTTTCCAGTTCCATTTTGATTTTCAAAATTTTAACTGCATTGTCAATCGTTATCGTCTGTCGTCTTGATTTCATTTCTTTTATTATTGTCACTCTTTAATGTTTTTTTTTTCTGTTTTTTATATTCTTTCACACTCAGTAGCTCCTTGTGTCTTAGTGGCTTTATTTCCTTGCTTGGAGTGAAAAGATTAAAACAAATATAATTCTTTTTTTAGATGGTTTTCATACTCGCTGTTGAGTGGCTTTCATAATTAAATAATCTGAGTGTAACAGCACAATAGATAATTTAAGGTTGAATCATACGATTTTTCAAATTATACATCTAAATGTATTGTCTTCTTTTATAGGTGTGGGGTTTTGTAGATGGAAGCTATGTTATTTTTATAGATGGTTAGAATTGTTGAGCAGATGAAACACTTTTAAAAAATATAGGATTCGTTATTGGCGGTCACAATCTTAACAAAAATATGCAGATGACACATTGTTGATAGCAGTCACAGAAGTGACACTATAGGACAGAGGACGGAAAGTGTGACACCGAAATCCAAAGACGCATTGAGATAGCGAAAGATGCCTTTCAAAAACTAAGCAAAGTATTAAGAAACAAAAAAAAAATACTAGAAAAAAGAAAAGAGTACTGAAGTGCTATGTGGCATCGGTCCTCCTCTATGGCAGTGAATGGTGGATAATCTCCTCAAAGATGAAAAAGAGACTTGAAACAACAAAAAATTGGTTCTACAGGATGATGCTGAGGATACCATGGATCGAACATGTGAACAACAACTAAGTTTTAGAGAAAATGGAAACAAAAAAGGAAACTTATACTTAACACCAGGAAGAGGCAGTTGGAATTTTTCGAGCATATAATGAGGAAAGAAGGTTTGGAAAATCTGATACTCACAGGGCAGATTGAAAGGTCAAAGGGGCAGAGGAAAACGATGCATAACATACTGAGTGAACTTAAGTAAAGGGATGGCAGAACAGGTTTTAGGAGAAATAACAAAAAAACAAATTTATTAAGAGCTTCAAAAGAACAGGAAATTATGGAGAGCCATGATCGCCTACGTCCTGAGCGGACACGGCTTATACTGAAGAAGAATAAACGTCGAGCAAAATAATTGTGCCGCGGAGAAAATTATTTGGAAGATAATAAGTGTTCCGTGCCAAATAAGGACCGTGATGGAAGAGGGGAGGGAAATTAAAAAAAAAAACAGTAAAAGACCTCATAATTGAACGTTCTCATATCCGAACGTTTTCATATCCGAATGTTCTCATATCCGAACGTCTTCATATCCAACGTCTTCATATCCGAATGTTTTCATATCCGAACGTCCTCATATCCGAATGTCTTTATATAGGAACGTACTCATATCCGAACGTCCTCATATCCAAACGTTCTCATATCCGAACGTCTTCATATCCGAACGTCCTCATATCCGAACGTCCTCATATCCGAACGTTCTCATATCCGAACGTCCTCATATCTTAACGTCCTCATATCCGAACGTCCTCATATCCGAACGTTCTCATATCCGAACGTCCTCATATCTTAACGTCCTCATATCCGAACGTCCTCATATCCGAACGTTCTCATATCCGAACTTTCTCATATCCAAACGTTCTCTTATCCGAACGTTCTCATATCCGAACGTCCTCATATCTGAACGTCCTCATATCCGAACGTCCTCATATCCGAACGTTCTCATATCCCAACGTCCTCATATCCGAACGTTCTCATATCCGAACTTTCTCATATCCCAACGTCCTCATATCCGAACGTCCTCATATCCGAACTTTCTCATATCCAAACGTTCTCTTATCCGAACGTTCTCATATCCGAACGTCCTCATATCTTAACGTCCTCATATCCGAACGTTCTCATATCCAAATGTTCTCTTATCCGAACGTTCTAATATCCGAACGTCCTCATATCTGAACGTCTTCATATCCGAACGTCCTCATATCCCAACGTCGTCATATCCGAACGTTCTCATATCCGAACATTCTCGTATCCAAACGTTCTCATATCCGAACATCCTCATATCCGAACGTCCTCATATCCGAACGTCTTCATATCCGAACTTCTAAGTGTTGCCATTTAGATGTTGTCGGAATAAGCGACAGTCTAATCTTTTTTTGCAGATAATTTTTAGTAACTTGCAATTTCTCAAGCCGTAATGTCTCGCACAGAAAAAACTTAAACTGGAAGAAAAAGGAAAATAAATTCTTTCACGCGACGCTAGAAATTAGAGATTTTTGAAAGATTGGACGAAACTCCTAATTAGTTGAATTTCAAAATTTAAAAAAAAAAACAAGTATTGCATAAACTGAACAAAACACTAAAAGATAATCTGAACAAAACACTTGATGTTAATCCACTGAACACTCTCACTTCAGACGACTTAAAAGAATGGATAAATGAAAAATCAAATGAATTACAATAGAAATCAATGGTAGAATCGTTTCAAAATGATTTGGATTGTCAATAAATAGAGGAAGAATCAAATTCTTCCGATAAACAATGATGATGAAGCTGGGACTGAGTAACGAAATCTATTAATGAGGTCATCAAATTCACGAAGAAAAAATGGTTGTTCAGTAGTACAGAATGTACGATTGCACGTAATTTGCAGAAATAAAGGTTGTTCCAATAACTTGGACTGATTTTAAATGTGAATTAAATTTAAGCGTCTAATAAAGTTTTTCTTTTTCTTTTAGATTTAGCAACTTAAGTCTTTGGCAATTTGAACCATGGACAAATTAACAATCAAACAATGTGTTAAACTTTCAAGAGTGCAAATGAAAAAAATTGTTCGTAAATTCAAACACACTGAATCGGTGGCAGATGTGAAAACACCATTGCACGCTCGTTTACGCCGTTCAGCTGAAAATATTGCTGCAGTGCACGAGAATGTGGCCGAAAATCCAGACCCCGCTATTCGTCATCGCTCGCAGAAATTGAACCACTTCACAACAAAGTTACAGCGTTTCTGATATGTCCCAGAAAGGGATATATTTGTTCGAAGTAGCAAAGTGGTTTTTGACCACTGTAACCAAGTAGGACAATCTAGCAGGTAACCATAATGGACTGGTCCTTGTCATAGTGGTAGGCAATAGATGAAGACAATAGGCAAAGACAATAGGCGTCATTCATGTACCTCCACATCAGTCTGTATTTATGGTTGACACCAGCCAATCATATTAATTTTGAAGAGGAACCCAGGTGGATGCATATTCATTACATCAGTTTCCAATTGCACTCTCGGTTGGTCGATGTTAACCAAAAAAATCGCGAAGTGCACAAAATGCATGTCTGTTTGAACGTCCATTTTTGTAATAGACTTTGATAACTTTAATAACGCGTTATTTGATTGCTAATCTTTCCATGGTTGAAATTTCCAGAATTTAAATTGTTAAATCGGAAAGAAAAAGAAAAAAAAATTCGTTAGATGCTTAAACTTAATTCACATTTAAAATCGGTCCAGGTTATTGGAACACACTTTATTAAAAAAAAAAAAAGTAAGCGAAATAAGAAGAGAAATAAGAAAGACACTTGAAAATAAAACTTATTGAACATTAAACATTGTAAATTAATATTTACTTTCGTGAGACACTTTATTTCTTATATATTGTGATAAGTTCTTTTGGTTTGTTAAGCTATAGTAATATTAAATATTTTAATTATATCCAAGCACGTTATCATATCCGGACGACACTGAATTTCGGATATGAGAACTTCCACTGTAAGTGAATTGTGTTAGCACTTATATTTCGTAGACAAGAATTACAAATATATGAAAAAAAAAAAAAAAAGACAAACAAAAAACAAAACCCCCTGGGAGCACTTTTTAAAAGGTTGGAACGATTCCAATCAGCAGTAGTAGAAGCCTCATCCGCATGTTCAGGTATTTTTACTAAATTGAGGAATCGGAGAACCGAGTTCGAATTCCCGTCGAATATATTACATTTACGTGCTAATACCCTTGGGAAAGGGATGAATCCTCTTCTTGTCCCCCCACCCCCAGCTAAATAACAGGACAGATCGGGTTCTATAGCTTTGGATAGTAACTGGTCTACCGCAGCTTTGGATAGTAACTGGTCTACCGCAGAAAGAATCTGCCTCGTCAGTCATGTATCGAAAGATACATGATCGCCTAATCGTGTATCACGCGTGGCACATAACTGACTGACAGAACCTCACTCATCGACATAAATCTGAAGAAACTCCGATGCATTTAATAAGTGCACAGTGGGAAGAAATTAACAGGCCATGAAGAAATAGCCAAATGTTTTTGCATGAACTGCATTTCGCGTCACTGATTCTGAGCCCCCCCCCCGCAAATCACTAACAGTATTTCTCTTTAAAAAAAGTTACCGTTGTCTTAAAATGATCGACTGATTCGTTTTTACGGCTTATCTACCCTTTGTAGGTTATTTAAAGCCGGAAAATATTTTTAGATTGTAAGAATTTTGTTTGAGATAATAATGATTTAGTGATACATGTCTTACTAATTAATCCATAGCTGGTCCAGGAAGAGGTGGATTCATGCCTTTTCCAAAACTATTTGCGCGCAAGTAGATATAAAGCATCCAACTGGAATTGGAACTCAGCTCTCCGATTAATAATTCCAAGTCATCTTATTCCCAAGAGGTCACCCAATTAGGTAATGACAAAGCTCGACGTTGCTTAAATTTGGTGATCGTACGGGTTTGTTAAGAGTAAGCAGATATCCATTTCTAAGAGGCCTTCGAGCTAGATTTAAAGTGGGGGCAGTTGATCCTTAGTCAGAACGCTACAATCAGTTGGTAGTTTAGTTACAGTCATATTCCAGATAATATAAATAAATCTAAAAGACATACTTTTTTTACGTCTTATCAACCCTTCGTAGAGCATTTAAAACTAGAAAATATTTCTATATTGTAAGAATTTTTTTGGTTGGGAGGTAATAATGGTTTTATGATAAAAGTCTTATTAATTAACCCATAGATGGGGTAGAAGATGTGGATCAAAATTTGATGACAAACAAGAAATTATAATTTGGACATAAAATGGGGAATCAATTCTGTACTACAATCAATACATAAACAGATCCCTCACTTTGTAACCACTGTTGTTACTGTACATTTATATTCTAGATAACATAAATAAATCTAAAAGACATACTTGTGTAGCTAATCAGTATTTGGATGATTCGTTTTCAAGGGTTTTTGAACCATTTGCAAGTTATTTAAAGCCAGAAAATATTCTAAGACTGTTCTGGGCATAATAATGATTTAGTGATATAAGATATACTAATTAACCCATAGCAGGAGGGAGAAGAGGTGGATTAATTATCATTCCCAAAGGTATTTGCGCTTAAGTGAATATAACTAACTTAACAGGAATTGGAAGTCGGCTCCGATTAGCAGTTACACCTGTCGTACACCCAAGTTTAAAGCAACTGGCATTCCCCGGTGGTCACCCATCTAGGCATTCACCAGGCTCGACGTTGCTTAACTCCGGTGATAGTACGAGAACCGGTGCTTCAACGTCATTAACCGCTAACTCCTTTATGTCACCCAGACATCCATGTTTAGAGCAGCCGGTATTCCCAAGCGGTCACCCATCTAGGTACTGACCATACCTTGGCGTTGCTTAACTTCGGTGGTAGTATGAGAACCGGTGTTTCAACGTCATTAACCAGTAACTCTTTTATGTCATCTAACCATCCATTTTTACAGTAGCCGGTATTCCCAAGCGGTCACTCATCTAGATAGTGTCCATACTTGGCGTTGCTTAACTTCGGTGGAAGTACGAGAACCCGTGTTTCAACGTCATTAACCAGTAACTCCTTTATGTCACCCAGACATCCATGTTTAGATCAGCCTGTATTCCATATATATATATATGTATATATATATATATATATATATATATATATATATATATATATATATATATATATATATATATATATATATATATATATATATATATATATATATATATATATATATATATATATATATATATATATGAGGAGGGCATTCTTTAGTTTCACCCATAAAGAAAAAGAATCCGTGGAGAGCCATGATCTTCTACGTTCTGAAAAGCCAAGGCATTAAAAGAAATGAATGGAAACAAGAGCATCCTTTTCAAAAATGTCGTTTCATTGCCCGAAAGATATCCTAATTGGTGGGGGCGTACTTAACTGATGAAATTTATCATTTTCCTTTTCGCTTTAACGTTTACTCACCTGACCTTCGTTATCCTAGATCTGTACTTTTAAGATTTAAACTTATTTCACTCTTTCTAATTACGTTATTCTGTCGGGTCAAAAACTTGTTTTGCTAGATTTGGCGACCGCAGTCATCAATCAACTCTCGTAATTTTGAAGAGAAATACATTTCTTTCATGCCAATTTCATTATTCTATCTGGTCTGATACTTGTTTTATATGATTGGAGACCTTACTTATCAGTCAACTCGAAATTTTGAAGAGTAATGAATTTACTTCATTTTAATACCAGTTTTATTATTCTATCTGGCCTGAAGTTTATTTTATATTAGTGGAGACCTTACTTATCAATGAACACTCGTAACTTTGAAGAGAAATAAATTTACTTCATTTTGATACCAGTTTTATTATTTTATCTAGTCTGAAACTTGTTTTATACGATTGGAGACCTTACTCATTGAAGAACCATCGGAATTTTGAAGAGAAATAAATTGACTTCATTTTGATACGAGTTTCATTATTCTATCTGGTCTGAAACTTGTTTTATAGGATTGGAGACCTGACTTATCAGTAAACACTCGTCATTTTGAAGAGCAATAAATTTACTTGTTTTTGATACCAGTTTCATTATTCTATCTGGTCTAAAACTTGCTTTATAGAATAGGAGACCTTACTTAGCAATCAACCCGCGTAATTTTGAAGAGAAATATATTTCCTTCATTTTGATACCAGTTTCATTATTTTATTTGGTTGAAGACGTGTTTTATATGACTGGAGGCCTTACTTATCAATCAACTCTCGTAATTGTGAAGAAAAATTGTCTTCATTTTGATACCAGTTTCATAATTCCATATGGTCTATTTTTGTTAAGGATTTATGGCGTTTTTCTCTTTGACACTAGTCTCCGGCGATCCAGACAAGTTAAAAGTTAAGATTTCAAATTTCTGTTTGTAGACGCTGTTCGCTTGGAATATTGGCGCAACATAATCTTTCTGCTGCATTTATTGTCTCCTTGACCTTGTGAAACACTGCCCTAAAGTTAGTAAATATCAATATCTACAAAAAGCTAATTACCAGTGACTTTATATTATTCATGTTATTAAGATTAACGTTCTAACTTTACTAATGACAGAGATCTTTTATCGACGAAGCTTAACTGAGAAAAGCTTATATAAATTGATGAGGATCAATTTAATTAATGAAGATGGTCTCATCTCAACCACTACTATGACTATTAGTCAGTTATGTGCCATACGTGATACACGCTTAGGCGATCATATATCTTTCGATACATGACTGACGAGGCAGATTTTTTCTCGCAGTAGGTTGCCATTTCTTTCTGCGGTAGACCAGTTGCCATCCAAGTCTATAGAACCCGGTCTGTCCTGCTATTTACCTATAGCTGAGGGAGAGGGAAAGGATTCACAGATTTCTCAAGTGTATTAGCACGTAAGTGAATGTAATGGATTCGACTGGATTTCGAACTCGGCTCTCCGATTCCTCATTAATAAATTTTAGTCAAAACGACCTCATATTATGTTATTCGGAAAATAATATGCGATTTGAGAATCAACTTTTATTCCCGAATTAATGTATTTCAACAGTGTTTAAATCAGTCAAAATAGTAACCTTGAACATGTATATATTTGTGTCATCGGTTTCCAGTGTATATACTGTGTGCGCCATGTATTTGAGAACAGAATTCTGAACGAGAGTGATATAAAATTAACAAAGAGGATACATTAATCATTAGGAATGAGTGATATATTTTTGTGCAGCTTTTATAATAATATATTAGAACACAATTAAAAGGTTTATTCTAAAATCGGACATTATTTTCTGAACAGCCTAATACTATTTTCCAGTGTGTATTATTTTCTGAACAACCGAAACAGAGTGAGACTATTTTCTGGTAGCCAAACCTGGAGGACGTAGTAAATCGAATATAAAAAAACGATTTTTCTTCGTGTTCTCGAAAAATCATCGATACCTCTGCCTTGTGAATTAATTGCCTAATGTCTATTCAGTTACGATTGCAAATGTTATTATTAGCATTTATAACGTGATTTAAGGGAACATTCAACGATAAAGAGGATATATCGAGGGATCAAGCATAATTGGCGTGAAGTGATTGAATTAATCTGTCTGTTGGTATTATTGTAGATATAGGAAACTTGGAGACAAGCCACGGTGATTCTTGATATTTTTAAATACTAATTTATGTGGAAGATTTCTTTTTTTTTTCTTTTCTTAATTTTTGGTCTACTTTACTTTTTTTACCCGATTATAGAAATTTTTTCCGCCTGTTTTTTTCATTTGTTGAGATGTAATATGTTCTAAATGTTCTGTCATTTCACATTTCTTTCTTTCTACGAAGCTTTTTTTGTTCCTTCTGCGAAGCTTTCTTTCTTTCTTTCTTTTTTTCTTTCTTTCTTTCTTTCTTTCTTCGAAGCTTTCTTTCTTTCTTTTTCTTCGAAGCTTTCTTTCTTTCTTTCTTTCTTTCTTCGAAGCTTTCTTCAGAGATTTCTTCGAAGCTTTCTTTCTCTCTTCGAAGCTTTCTTTCTTCGAAGCTTTCTTTCTTCGAAGCTTTTTCTTTCTTTCTTTGAAGCTTTTTTCTTTTTTTCTTTCTTTTATTCTCCGACAATTTTTTTCTTTTATCATTACTTTTTCTTATTCATGTCCATATTCACTTCTTTTTTTTTGTAAATTTTTATTTTTTTTTATTAAATTTATCTCTTGTTTGTTTGCTTATTCATTTAGTTATTGTATTTTAAGATTTTCGCTTTTTCTTTTCCTTTTTCTTACTTTTCTTCTTTCTTTCCGTCTTTCATTTCTTCCAATTCTTTTTCTTTCGTTTTTTCTTTTTTTCTTTGACGTTTCCTTTGTTCGAGGCTTACTTTCATACTTTCTCTTTTCATTTCTTTCTTTTCTTCTCCGACAATTTCTTTCTTTTTTCATTACTTTTTATTTCTTTTTTCATTCATAGCTACATTCATTTCTTCTTTCTTTCTTTCTTTCTTTCTTTCTTTCTTTCTTTTTTTCTTTCTTTCTTTCTTTCTTTCTTTCTTGGAATCTTTTTGCCTTAATTTCTTTTTTCTTTCCATTCATTTGTTCCCTAAAAAATTCTTTCTTTTGTCACTGCTTTTTATATTTTTATCGTTCATGGCCACATTTCTTTCTTTCTTTCTTTCTTATTTTCTTTCTTTCATCGAAGCTTTCTTTCTTTCTTTCTTTCTTTCTTTCTTTCTTTCTTTCTTTCTTTCTTCGAAGCTTTCTTTCTTTCTTTCTTCGAAGCTTTCTTTCTTTCATCGAATCTTTCTTTCTTTCTTTCTTTCTTTCATCGAAGCTTTCTTTCTTTCTTTTTTCGAAGCTTTCTTTCATTCTTTCTTCGAAGCTTTCTTTCTTTCTTTCTTTCTTTCTTTCTTTCTTTCTTTCTTTCTTTCTTTCTTTCTTTCTTTCTCTTTTCCTTCCAATCATTTGTTCTCTGAAAAATTCTTTCTTTTGTCATTACTTTTTATATTTTTTTATCATTCATGGCCACATTTCTTTCTTTCTTTCTTTCTTTCTTTCTTTCTTTCTTTCTTTCTTTCTTTCTTTCTTTCTTATCTCCTCATTCTCAGACTCTCTGTCTTTACTTATTTTGTGTTTTATATTTCTTCAATTTGATATTTCAAAGACTTAATCTTCCTTCCTTTGAATTCTTAGTTTTTTTTTTATTTCATTCATCTAAGGGCAATGTACACATCACCGATGTAAATACGCATGGGAAATTTATTTAAAAGACTTGAAACCAATTCGATTAATATTATTGTGACAACCTTTTCACTTTATTGATTATCAGGTCAGTCTTAGACCATTTTTAAAGCATGTCGGCAGCAAATAGCTTTACATGATTGCGAAGAAAATCTTCAGATGGCGACAGTTACAGTTGATATGGGACGACAAGAAAAAAATGATGCCATACACCGTTTTTTGCTATTTTTCTTTTCTTGAAATATATCATAAAATATCTATGCCTTATCAATGTTTAGAGGTATTTACACTATTTATATGATTCAGACTGTTGTCCTTATCTTTATTGCTACATTCAGGACGTTTCGGCAGTTGTATGCTCCAATATGTTGGATTTTCGAATCGAACCCCTTATTTAGTCCATTGGGGTAGATTGTTCTAATTCCACATGCCATGCCTTTTTTGGATATCACAGTTTCAATTAATTCCCTTTCAGTAACTCATCTCTACAAGTTTCTCTTCCCTTAACTGTAGCCAGGAATTGAATTCACAACATTTTTGGTCAAGTCACATGGCCCAGTAAATAAAAGCTTTGGTTTGATAATCCAAAAAAGTAACTTGGCCCAAACAAAACTAACGCATAAAAATCATTTTAAGTGCACTTCAATGTGGTGCAATTGCTAGCAAGTTTGTCGCTAGATCAATTATGACTTAGTAGTGAGTTC